AAAAAAAAAAAAAACCATATTGTAGTGGTTATTCCACTTCAAAGGTTCATTTACATCAAAATAGGCAAAAACAAATTTAAAATTTTTGTACAACGTTAACAACTGCAGCGAACTGCCTCAAATTTAAACTTATTTTTAACTCACAAATTTGCTATTTTACGCGCAGTCCAATTTTTTAATTGTAAGTCTTTGTTTTTTGTTTATCTGACGTAAATTTATGCCGAGTAACAGGTGGAAAGAAGGTGAGTGGAATGTGGAGTAAGACAAACGAAACGGAAGTGAAGAATTATCAAGTGAAGCAACACGTTTAAAAAAGCAGGAATGCCATTTCATTGACATCGCTACATTCAATAGGTTTTGTACTTTGTAGTAATCAGTGATTTTCCCTGTTTCACTCACTGCATTTTGATGTTTGGCCTTAAAGACTGATCTTTGATAATGTCGATTTGCGAATAAATAGCTGGCTGTTCGGTAACTGTGCCGTTGACGGCAATAATGTTTAGTAGTTGCAACGAGTGATAGTTATGGAAAAACACCAATGATAGATAAAGTCTTTTTTATCTTCTTTGTCGTCAATAGCGGTTGATGGTGCTGCTGTTTTTCTGATGGAATTCGCATCTGCTAACAACGTTCTTTTTATGCTAATTAGAGAGGAAAAAAAGAACAAGCAAAATTTTATCATCATCTGTCAAACTGAGTTACCGTTGCTTTAAAGTGATTATGTTTTTATAACGTATACCTATTTTACTAACGCTTCTAATGATAGAATTTGGTGCATATATAAACTTTTTATTTGTTGGCCACATTGTCAAAAAGACATTTTTATTAGATATTTAACCAGTTAAAAAAGGTCTAATGACAATAAAATTACGTTTTTCGAGTAAATTTGACGCTTTCTGTTCTTCTTCTTCCTTGTTTGACATTATTTGTTGCTGCTGTTGTTTACTCATTAGTTTATGTGAGGAAAATGAAGGCAATACTGGAATTGGGTGCAAGAAAAAACTGATCAACAAAATCAGCTTCAAACGTTGGTATGACTGTTGTGGTACGTTTCGAAAGCTAACTTGTCCCGACTAGGTCTCCATTCCACCGGTTTCTAATTCTACTTTTATTCTCAGTTTCTACACCTGTAAGGTGCTTTGTTGGTATGATTTGGGATAGTTTTCTTCTTTTTTTCATTTTTTTCCTATGTTGTTGTTTTTGTTTCATTTTTCTGAGCTGCTTAATGCAAATAAACATTGGAGATATATGTATATCAAAATATAACAGACTTTAATGATTATTTGGTTCAGTGTTTAGTCTGCTAGATAAGGTTCTTATAAAAAAAGGTTTTTTTGTTAGCTTTTTTGTATCAGTCCATTTACATGTCTGTTTTTGGGCCAGTTGTAAAAGCTGAACAACAATGTTTTAAGTTGAAAAACTGTCGATCTGTGAAGTTAAAATTAATACCACTAGGAATAGGTTTTTTTGTTTTTTCTTCTTTGAAGACACTACTTTTTTTATTTTTTCTTTTTGTTTATAAAAGGTAAAATATTTTTACATTATAAAAAAATGTGCTGAACGGGGCGGCGGCGGCTGCAGACAAAACACAGAACAATGATTATAGC